GATTGTGCAAAAGAATAAAAATCTTCACATTTTATCTTGCTATTTAAACTTATCTTTAATTCAGTAACAATTGTTTCAGTCGACATCGAGTTTCGACTTGGTGTCCATGCGTGCTTCATATGACTGAAGACACCTTCAGCAAATGCGTTTGAACAAGGAATCGAATAAACATAGGCAAGAACTTTCGTCATTTCGTTGCATAAAGTTGTTGATTTTGTGAGCAGATATGTCCACAGTTGATCAGATCGAATCTGATTTTCTTTTTCATGAATTTCAATTGTTGGTTTATGAAAAAGATCTTCTTCATCCTGTGATTCATTATTTTGATCATTGATTATATCTCCACTGAAATTATGAGCATCATCACCGATATATTTTCGAATTTGATCACTCAATGGTTCACGATATGAATTGACTTCTTTGAGTGTGGATTGTAAAATATTCAATTCATCGAATAATTTTTCATGATCAACTTCCAACTTGAGAGAAACGACACATTCTTCAATTTGATAAAATTTTATTTGATCGATTTCACGTATCCCTAGAAAAATGAAGCTGTTCTCCTATCTAATTATCACAATAAAACATACCAAAAACTGCAGTTAATTCAGCCAATTCGGATTGTTCATCATAATATTTCTCAATATATTTAATTACACTAGACACATAATCGATAAATGATTGATTCAGTTTTTTTCGATCTGAATCGGGCAATGAATTCAATAGAGTTTTCCTTTGATAACCAAAATAATTTTGTTTCAATCGATCATTAAGTTTGCTAAGAAGACTAGTGATGATTCTACTCAAATAAACAATCGAAACGTAGTATCGTTGCAATTCCAAGCTCTTTTTCTGTAAATCAAACAAAACATTGTGCAAAAAATACATTGTACATTTGGCTTCAGTAGAAGTAAAAACCATTGAAATTATTGGTGGACATGGAAAAGCATCTTCGTCACCCAAATCCAAAAAATAAGCAGATAATGGATCAAAGACTTTGAGTAATCGTTCAATAGACGGATATAGGCTAAGCCAACGAATATTGATGTGTTTCAATAATAACTGAATATAAAAAACATTGATGACTATTAATAATATGATATATGCTTTACTAAATGATCTTGCTCGACAAAATCAAAGTACTCTTTGAGAGTTTCTACTCGTTTTGTTGAAGAAGAAAAGTGACCATAGAGTTTTGACAAAATTGATTCAACAT